TTAAAACTGACGGTATGGTCTTTGGACCATCAAGGGGATCGTGGTTAAGCGCTGGTTAATTAAAAGAAAATGGACACTAGGAGTATCTTTACATCAGAACAATCCGTGTTACGAAGACGTACTCATTTAGTCTGAAATCACACCAACATGAAAGCGCTAAGATCGAAGCTCGTATAAATTATGGGCACTGAAATCAAGGGCAAATGAACTCGAGATGAGTCCAATTAACGCCAGATCGTGTTCCTTGGATTTCGGTTCTATTAACTGATCACTTGTTATTTCGGACTCTGCGGCCCTTAGGGCCCGCTACTAATTGGGAGGTTGAGCGAGTTTTTGCCAACGAGAATTTATTAAAGATTATAAATTAAACGTAAGACGTTGAACTTTGTCATATTTAATTATGCTTTAGTTCGCGTTTGACTTGTTTTATAAAATCCAATTTGATCTATGGCCTTTTCAAAGTCAAGGTACATACAGGCTTACGCATTGTAAAGGCGTGAGTATTTATATTTAATACTCGTGTTGTGTTTTGTTATGGCTTCATCCTAAACAAGAATCAACGAAGCCTTGTTGTAAAATGTAATAAAAAATTCAATATGTTCAGAATTTCCCTGGTAAATACAGAAAGGGCATTGCATGGGTACTGTTTGAAAAGAATTGGCAATAAGAAAAACAAATAGAGTTGTGCGGCCGTAATAAAACGCCTCGGGCACTAATAACGTAGCTGAGTTAGCAAACGGTCGTCGGGGCTGGTGCATCGCAGCAATTACATTGTGATTTATAACTTGAATACCACTATTAAAAGTTGGTTGGCAAGAGCACCGGCGTTGATCAAGTAACATGTTCATTTTACCTCAGACGGATTAATATCAGGCCGCGTGCCCACCGACAGCGAAGCTTACGCGATGCTTTATCGTGCGTCGCGAAATTCGAACGATGAAGAAAAAAGCAACGTCCCGTGGGCGGTAACGAGATTGCAAATGAACATGCAGTTTGCATAATAATATTATGATCCCGGCGATTAAACTCTTGATGGAAACAAAAAACAGACGGGCCATTATGTTATTATACGTTTGAGTAAGAGATTAATAAGTTGAGGCTTAGTATGCGAGCGATTACCATTTATAGTGAGGTTCTTTATTAAAAAATATTAAAATAAATATTTAACGGAAATGGGATAATTTTAAAGCATCAACCGAAGTCTATCAGTACAAAACACAAGGAAAAAAGATATACCATTCAAGTATTTTATACCATCAAGCAAGTATTAGTACAATTATTTTAAAGGCAAGCAGTGATTATGATGGTAATAAATATATTAAAGAAAATTTAACAGCTAGATTGTAGCTAGAATAAAGCTAAACTTCGCAGTGGGCGGTAAACCTAAAGCGATAGCATCGCTACTAGAATTTGAAACATTCGATCGCGAATACATGATTTAGAGGTCCATTAAGTAGGTCCCGAATAGACTACTGTCGAGATTAAATCCAACATAAATTACTGCTCTATTAATTTGTCTACTAGTCGGTGTTTATAGTTAGAATGGACGCCAGTTTATATGTGTTAGCTCATAGAAATGGCAAGCCGCGAGCATTGGATAGGTCGGTGTAATGATTATCGACTTAATGGAGACATACGGTCAATTAGACTTAGCCTCAGGCGAGATACCATCGGCCCGTCATTATCATAAGCCTGTAATGCGTTTTGGTTGATACATTGCAAAGAATATTTACGCATCTTTAATAACTAAATTAAACAATAAACTGGTTAGCTACAAGCAAATAATAAACATGTTTTTAAATTAATATACTGCGCGATCTGATAACAAATATGACAAACAAGCTGTTGCCAGCGACTTAATCCGGGCAGTATTAAAAAACTAAAGTAAACAGCCACTGTGTTCTTTCGGATTATACCCTACATCTATGCCAAACGTCATAAAGATCCGTTCAGCTGTTTAGGCTGCAAATTCTAACAAACATCGATCTAAACTTTCGCGTTTATAATATTACTAAGATAAGGCTTAAAGCTTTTCTTTCTTTCTATTTGTTATGTATACATTGTTGCGATGCAAGTTAAACTGGCGATCGAATAACATCCCATCATGAAATGTTTTGCTTAGAGAAAGGTCATTAACATTGTTAGTATATCGTAAAACATTTGGACGTATGATAGAAGTTATTTATACAATGTTATTCGTGACGTGTAGATCGTCTCGATGTCTCGTAAACTACGCTTTGGTATATTTGTAAGATGTAAGAAAAAGGTAAGGGATCCTGTGCAAAAGATTTCGTGAATGTAAACGTGATCGAATTTTCTTTCGTACCGTCTATTTCAGTATCTGTTGACATACGAATGTCTTCATTAGGAGTACAAACAGATGCACGATATGTTTATTTATACATATAATCCAAATATATTACGTTTGGTATATTTAATAATAATATCTCAATAAATTTGTCATTGCCATCCTTCGAACACATCACCACCTAATATCAGATGGGTCCATGGTCACGCATTAGTTTATATTAGGGTTGTAACGAACTCAACTTCCCCATCAAATAAATTATTAGTCTGCATCCGCTTCCGCTTCCGTTATTTCTTATGCGGAGTTATAACGGAGGTTAATTTACGTCTTAAACACGAGTGGAGGCGATTAGATCGGTTATACGACCCGCGCGGGCGTGATAAGTCAACTAACTATGATTGTTATACATTATTTTAGTTTTAATTTCATTAAAAAATCGCAATTTTTTTTTATTATTGACCTCCGCTTCTGCAGAGGTGAAGCCTTTCGCCTCCGCATCTGCATTCGCTTCTGTTAAATGCCCTCTGTTGCAACCCTAGTTTACATTTAATAAAAAAATACAAATGCGTTTTTCACACGAGAAAATTGATCATATACTTTATAACACAAAGATTTAATTAACATTATTAATAATTTATTACGTATACCTAATTCTAGAATTAAAAGTTTTAATACTTCGACATAAAAGCAGTACTTGTATGTAATGTACAAAGGCACAAGTAATTAGAAAATTGTTTCGCTTCATCGAGAATTAATTAACAAGTTCATTGAACGGATATTACAATCGTGTCGAATTCACAATCATTTCATCTTCCGGGATAAATAATAATTCACGATCGCCGACTGAATTTAGATTTCGGATAATTAAATATCGATGGGTGACATAAATTCTGGCGAAGGGAAAAAATAGGGCGAACAATTCCGCTCCGCAGGGCTATAAAGGTACCCGAGGAACTACTATTCGTCCCTTAATAAAATTTAATGGTCTCGTTTTAAATAATATTAGACCTATATTTCCTTCGAAAAGGATTCCTGAAAGGAGTGTTATTTAATTTTATTTCAAATTGAACTGAACTTTCACTTAAAACCGTATTAATTATCCAACTAATTTAATGTCATGTAATCTTTACGAATAATTACTACTTCACTTTATCTAACTATAAAGAAGACAAGGTCCTTAATCTTTTTTAATCAGTGTTTTTCGATTATATTTACAGTTGACTATTTTTTTTAAATTTTAGTTAAAACTTTTTATTTAAAAAAATACAAAACAATAACCAAAATTAAATAAGAAATACAGCTCATCATTTAACGAAAAGAAAAATAAATAAACGAACGATTTATTGTTACTCTTTTCGGGTCGTAACAAATTTAATTACAACCCAAATTTGACATTTAGAAAACAAAATAAACAACAGTTAACGGTTACATCCCTGAACGGACATTTATAACCATTTGGTGCCGACAAACTCCGAATTGCTTTATCCTCGCATCACGCCGTGTTTGTCGTCATTAGCCGACACGACTCTAAAAACCTTTTCATGTTACTTATAAATACATCCCTATACTTTTTCTATGATCTATTTTGTTTTGCGTAAAAGTATATGTAACATATTTAGATATCATTAAATATTCAACACACATAAGATATCTATAACGTTAATAAAAACTGTGACAACCCTACAAATGAAGTCTACGCGACGGAAAAAAGGAAGGTTTTTCATTCCATTTCGGTTACAAATACGCATCAAAAGATATTGAAAACGACGTGGATCAAAGAGATGGCGATATCCAGATTTAAATATGTATTATTTTCGACACAGAATGCGAGTGATATTTGAAAGACAGGCAACTCGATCTTGCCGAGGTTATACGATATGTATTTTTTTCTCTTTGACACATGTCAAATCTAAGTTTTCCTTTGCTAGACTGGATAACGGATATAACCTAACGTATACTCTACTAATGTAAGGTTTTACGCTCTTTATTTAAAAAATGACCGTTGAAAACCCAATCTGTTCCTACCAATGTGAGTCAAAAAAGAATACTGGGAACGTATGTGAAATGAAATCGGATCGCTAAAACACAAATAAAACTAGCTATTGTCTGTTAATCTAATTTCATTAAAGAAAATCGGATTCCTATCGAAATTGGAGATCGTTTTTAATTAAACGCGTCCCGATCATTGCTTTTATTTAAAACTCGCGAAGCAAATTAACGAATGTTTCGATTCGTTACCTTTTCATTTACATTTTTTTAAAGTTCTTTGAAATATTTTACACTCGAAGAACTTCGATGACACTTATATTTTCATACTCAATTAATTCCAATACGACGCGAACTTCGAAATGTCGTTAAACACTCAAACTCTGTCAGAAGCAGAAGAAAATCTGGAGCACATTTTTGTTTTTCTTTCACTTTGTTAATTAAAATATTATCAACGTTTATAGTTTGCTACCGACATACATAACGACTCGGAAACAATTTTCTTTGAAGAGTATAATTTTAATATTATCAACTCACACCTGATATGCTCGAACGAGTAGTGTAGGGTAATTATAAAAAATAGGTCTACCAGACATCGTAGTAAAAGGAGATAGAGGGTTAGAACTGTCAAGTTGTCTCGTGTCTAAAGATCGTTTACTGTACTAAAAAGTAACCACGCGCAGCATTAAGACGCTATCTAACATACCTTCCTCCCGATCTGTGCCTGATGCTGCAGCGGGGGAGGCGCGAGCAGCCGCAACGGCGGCGGCGCCGGCGGCAGCGCGGCTAGCAGCGGCGGCACCAGCGGCACCACGCCGCCCATCGGCAGCGCCACCGCGAACTTATGCATGCCCATCGTCCATGGCAAGAACCAGCCGCCGCCGGCCTGCATCGCGCCCCCGCCCGCCCCGCACGCCCCGCCCGCCCCGTACCACGCCAGCTCGATCAACTCTCGCACTTCCACATCAACACAACCACACCGGCACCGTTATCGCCCACCAACACACGACATGGGCTCACAAATTCCCTTAACACTTTTCACAAATACCTGGAAACAAAACAAACACACTGTTAGATCAGCACGTCTATATTAGATTTAAATGTTGACGAAACAAATGAAACAATCAACGCTTTTAAATTGATAGATGTTGTTACGGATTGACATGAATAAAGGTCCCGGTATTTGATTCATAGCTTGCGAAATATAACTGAAAGCTGAATGTGTTGATAAAATTAAAGATATATTAATAAATTACTCGACGAGGGACATTTCCCGATCGCGGAATCTGGGTGAAATATCTTCAGAATAGATCAAAGAGTATATTTATTTAATGAAATAATGAAAGAAAACTCTACATTATATTCTTGGCGCGGCATGAACGTTTGTTGAGAACCGTGAAATTGGAACTGGCCGTAATTAGCAACGTCTCTTATGTTCCCGGAATCTTTGTTCCGTCAATCAACCAGTTTTGACGGACATTGACGTTTTTAAAATTAAGTCGTTAAATTATTTAATAAGATCACTTCCATGAAGTACTGTCGATCAAAGTAATATTTTGGTTTCATATTAATAATAACGATCATCATTTGTTTTAACTCGGATAAAAAAAACATAAATAAAACAGTAAAAATAATGACACTATGTCTGGAAACCACGATCTTAATAGCCATAAAGCGACTCGTAATGTTTTTTTATAACACAAATGAAAAAAAAAAAACTTTTAAAATAAGGTTTGAATGGAATACAGCTCAAAATATTCCAATATAGTATTGTAATTTATTACCTTTGAGAATAAAATTGTATTTCGATAAATATATTTTGAAGTCTTTGTACTTCGGTATTGCAGTAAAGGTTACCAGAGTTCGTTTTAGATTTCAAATACTTTGTAGATATAATCCGAAGGCGTCTCGTGTTACAACTGACAGTATTCTGAACATACTTTATTCGTATCATAAATTAAAAAGTAAAATGCTTGAGACGCTTAAGTTTCATTAGCCAATAGTAAATGCTGGCGAAGAGATAGGAACAGATTTCTCGGATTTTTCTCTTCTAGATAAATTTTTTAATACAGCATATAATTTAATATTACACTTTTATTATTTGCATATACTTTAACCGGAAACTATTTGATTTCTTCGTAAAAACCCTTACAAAGCATATTAAATTTACTATAAAAGATCTCAAGCGTACATTCCCTCCATTTGATAATGGATATTTTCAATGTTCATCCATTTACATAATCAAATACAAAACCAGTAGTGCGGGGATTCCACGAAATCGTTTTGAGCGCCGCCAAATTCAAACAAAAGAAAATTGGAGTAGCCGTCTACCAAACTATGGTGTGCTGAAATTTCAGACGTCAACGTCATGCGATCGCGAGCTTTTAAAGCTTCCCTATAAACTGCGCTCGCTGTTTATTTAACTTTCATTTTGGAAGAGCTTTTGTTTCTTTGATTGATGAGAAATGTACTCTAATCTATTATTTTACCGGAGAAGTAGTTAGATTGAATGTTAATGCATAATTTGTTTATTGTTATTAATAATTCATCTAATCATAGTCTTTCATATCTTTTTAAATGTCACAAGATACGTCATCACCATCATCATCAATCTTTATCTGCTCACTGTTAGACATAGGCCTTCGTCAATGCCTACCACAGAATGCGGTTTTCTGCCTTCCACATCTAAGAAGTTGCTGTGCTAACACATTGCATAGGTTAAAATGAGTTTGTTAAGTGTCGAGAAAAATTGATGATAATTCCACGATCGAACGTTTCAACTCAACGAATCATTCTATTCGAACTGTGGAAGCTTCGTTGAAAGAATATTAGGTGTCATTTAAATACACGGCCGATAGCGGACGCCGACAATGGGGACGCAGTCGAGGTTTTCGAATATCAAATTAGGAATGCAAACAGACGCTATCTGGGATCGGCCTTTCGTCGGCGCCGGGACGTAACAAATAAACCGAATTAATTAAAGAAACAATATTACAATATGTTTTAAATGGCGTGTTAGGACTTTCCAATAATATAATTCTATTTTCTTAACTATAGCTGTTGCTCGCGATTTCGTCCGCGAGAAATAAAAAACATATCTTATGTTACAGATTACCTTTGTAGCGGTGAAGGATTTTTTAAATCGGCCCAGAAATTTTCAATCCATACATAAATACAAAACGTTCCTTTTTATAATGTTAGTATAGATAACTCTATATAGCATCAAAATTATATTAAAAATATTTCGTACAAAATCTTAAGACTTTACTTTGTATGTCACATGTATCCCTACATCGATCTAAGACACCTTTAAGTTATTTGAGATCATAAAACAATGCTCACGGAATTCAAACGCAAGGTCAAAAGGTAAGAAAAAAATGTAAACGCATAAAATAAAGTATTTTTCGTTTCACAATAGGGAGGCGGCATGACTCGACAAATGAAACACGCTGAGTCACTCCTAATAACTTAACTCACGTAGAGATCTCCTTTACTATTCTGTGTCGCTATGGATAAAACTCCGAAATAAAAAAAAGAAATACTTTATAGAAAGTCATAATTTACTACGCACTCATAAAATTTTAAATAGAACAAGTAATCGATGTCCAAATAACTTGTGGTAATTAATTTACAATTGGTAATTGGAGTTAAAATAACTTTGGCAATTATCGATAGACCCATAAAACAATAAATTAAGCAAAAACTGAAAACTAAGGACTGTTCAAGATCAAAGGAATTAGGAAAATTAATTGGTATAATTTATTATTTTATAGCATAAAAAAGTAAAAACAGCAAAGTTGTAGAATCAAAATGCTAATAAACATAAAAGTATTGCATTTCATTATAAATTACGACCTCTTTACAATTCATTACATGTTTGTAATTACCACATTAACACTATTTTATTTCATTACGTATACTTTTTTGCAATAATCGAAGATACGAATTACCATTATGAAACGTAATTCCATATCTCTTCATTACATAAATATGAAATTATTAGCTTTCGCCCGCGACTCCGCTGGCGTGGAATTAAAAAAAACAAAAGTGAGGAGCCTACATCTTCTTCCAAACTATCCTCTACATCGACCATACCTGACTGTCCTCTATATCTATACCAAATTTCATCGAAATCCGTTCAGCCGTTTAGGCTACAAACTCTAACAAACATCCATCCATCGATCCTGTCAAATAAAAAACCCATGCTATCAAATAATATGACTAACAATATGACAAATAATATTACAAAAATCACCGGATGATTTAACTTGGTGTATCATAATGTGAGTGCTGTGAGGGTTTGTTCTAAATCATACTAATATCATAAATGAGAAAGTTTAGATGGATGGATGAATGGATGTTTGTAAAAGTTTTTAGCCTAAACGGCTGAACGGATTTCGATGAAATTTGGCATAGATATAGAGGACAGTCTGGAAGAAGACATAGGCCCACTTTTGTTTTTTTTTAAATCTACGCGGACGGAGTCGCGGGCGAAAGCTAGTTTATATAACAGAAAACAGGATGATGTAATATGAAACATTTCGAACAATATAACTAATGAAATAATAATAGACTTGCTTCGTTTGCTATCTAAAAAGTTGAGGCTATAAAAATTGGGTCCGAACAAAAGAGGGATCGTCGGTCATAGGTCAGTAAACAAATCGATTGGCGGTTAACATGACAATAGTCAATGTACGGTCACTGGAGAACTCATCATAAGCCTGTTTAGAGCACTGTCACGCTATTCAACTCGCCTATTCAAACATGTTGAAAATAATTCGGCGTTTGGAAAGCTTATGAGAGTATTCATTGTAGTTAATTTTTTTTTGTTGTCGACTAACTGTAGCTCGGGATTTCGCCCGTGTGTAATTAAGAAAAATATAGCCTGTGATCGTAGATAGACAGTGATAACATAGCTTTAGAAATCGGTCCAATAGTTTTTTAGTTATTTCAATATATATAAAATACAAATCTTTTCTTTTTATAACATTAGTATAGAAGGATGAAAATTAAATAAAAACGATAATGCATTAAAGTGCCAATCATTTGCTAATCAAAAAGGGTTGTTTGTGTGAATTGAATAATACTTAAGTGAACTATCAGAGGGAATATGCAATTAAAATTTGTAAAATTCGACTCCAAAACAATAATCTGTACTATTATAATAAAGCATTAACCCACACTTCTTTGTTGCCTAAGATGTCAGCAATCACAGCATATTTTTGAATAATTCCTTTTATAATAAAAAGCCCTACACATACGTCACGCTTTAGGCTATATATTTTCACTCCATTAAACTTAGGCGTAATATTTTGGATAAAAACACTAATGCGGGAAAGAGACCATAAGTTGGTGCCAACATCAAGGAAACAAGGTTTCCATAGTTTATCATAATGTTATGTCATTTTGACATTTGCAATTGATAATTTGACACATGTAAACAACAAAATAAGATTTTCACAATTTTATGCGAATGAAGTCGCACGGGAACAGCTATAATAAATTCAAAAGGCAGTTACTTCAGAAACCGCACGCATAGTGAGGAGGTTCCTGTCTCTGCAGCCCTGACCACTGGTTGCTTGAGTCGCCGGATTCCGCAGCCGGTAGTGCTCTATTTTTTATATAATATACTTAATTTTATTTTTATACAAATCTTGTAAAATGTATTACATAGAAAATAAGAAATAAAGATATATGATGTATAAATAATAATAAAGATACAATAATAAAGAAGTTAATAATGAATTTTAAATTCCGATTTTGTACTTGTATTCACTAATAATAATTAATAATTATAATTCCTGCATAGTTTACCACTAAGCTGACAGCAATCATTTAAATAGATAGATTTTAAAGCAAAAAATAAATAATATTGCATAAGACAGCAAAAAATTGACATCGCAGGATAATTTATTACGAGAAGCTAAAGGTCAATAACCTATGGAGCGGTCGAAAATCAAGGAAACATGCTGTTATAGCAGAACTTTTAATATTAACCAATTATTTGTACAATGAACCCAGTTCAATAAACTGAAGATCCGATCAGAC